AATTTATTTATTTTTGGCTGTGTTGGGTCTTCGTTGCTGCATGCGGGCTTTCTCTCTAGTTGCGGCGAGCAGGGGCTACTCTGTTGTGGTGCGGTGGCTTCTCTTGTTGCGGAGCACGGGCTCTAGGCGCGCGGGCTTCAGTAGTTGTGGCACGTGGACTTCAGTAGCTGTGGCTTCTGGGCTCTAGAGCGCAGGCTCAGTGGTTGTGGCGCATGGGCTTAGTTGCTCCATGGCATGTGGGATCCTCCCGGACCGGGGCTTGAACCTGTGTCCCCTGCATTGGCAGATGGATTCTCAACCACTGCATCACCAGGGAAGCCCCCTAATTTGCCCCTTTTTATACCAAATTAAACATGAAGATTTTTGAGGTTGGCCCTTGTGTCCCTTTCCCATGTGTGTCTGTGTCTGGACCCCTTCTTGCTTGTTGCCTCCTTTCTTCCGGGCTACAGTCTGTGGTCCTGTAGTCAGTCTCTTGATGGGACGGGCTGTGGGCACAGCGTCGGCCCAGTAGGAGGTTGGCTGCGGTCAGGCCTGGAGGCAGAGCCCCTGCCCCTTCCTGCACGGCCTGGTAGGGGGCCGAGGCAGGCAGGTGGGGAGGCGCAGGCTCTCCCTGACCATCCCTCTTTCCCCAGCTTCATCACCTTCCGCTCCTGCGCTTACCTGGACAGGAAGCACACCATCTTCGGGCGGTAAGGAGCTGCACATGAGGTCTGTGTGTGTCGGGGGTGGGCGGCTACCTTCCCCTGGGCTGGGCCTGCTCCCACTTGCCCCGTCTGTGTCTCTGCACAAGTGGGGGCTTGGGGCTTCTCTGGCGGGGGATGGGGGTGGGCAGGGAGTTGGGCCCTCTGGACCTGAGACCCGTCCCAGTGGCCTACCCAGCGCCCTGCCTGCACCCTCAGGCTCTCCCTTGAATGGTCCCGAATCTTAAAGCTGGGCCACATCCTGTCTCTCTCCCCATCTCCTGTCTGGAGCTCGGTACCCATCCTGTGAAGGCCCAGATGGTATTTCCAGCTCTGTGGCTTCATGGTCTCTGTCACACCCCGTCTCTGGTCGTAGCACAAAATCAGCTACAGGCATTATGAGCGTGGACGGGTCCCGATCAATCTTGTTGACAGAGCTGGCAGGCAGCTGGACTTGGCCACCAGCCGGGCCCGGGGACCCCGCCCCTCATCTCTGGGTCCTACTGGCTCCTTCTGGAGCCACTCTGTGCCCCTGGCCTGCACAGGAACATGGCCTTTGGGGGTGCCCTGCCCTGGGCACATTCTCAGGTGCCCCATCGCTCTGCTGCAGGGTTGTTGGAGGCTTTGACACACTGACGGCCATGGAGAATGTGGAGAGTGACCCCAAAACTGACCGCCCTAAGGTATGTGCCCGGGAGCATGGGGGCTGTTCCTCAGGCTTGGCACTGGGCAGGCCCTAGGCGGGCTGGGGGCATGCGCCGGCTCTGCTCACCCCCTCCCGCCCCCACCAGGAGGAGATTCGCATGGACTCCACCACAGTGTTTGTGGACCCCTACGAGGAAGCCGACGCCAAGGTGAGGGGGGCACTCGGGGCCCGTTCCGTCCCCAGGAGCCCCACCCGGCCCAAGGGCTCCAGGCCAGACACTCCCCTGCCTGCCACAGATCGCTGAGGAGCGGAAGAAGACGCGGCTGGAGGCAGCGGCCCTGGAGAGCACAGCCAAGACCAGCCAGCCCCAGCAGGGGAGCCAGGGCCCCCAGACGTACCGCCAGGGAGTGGGCAAGTACATCAGCCCGGTGGTCACGTGAGTCTCCACGGTGCTCTCCCTGCACTTACCGCCAGGGGGTGGGCAGCCGGGGGCACCAGCATGAGCTGGCTGCTGGGGGCGCCTTGGTGCAGGGTGAAGGAAGGGGGGGTCGGGGCCTGGTACCCACATGGCAGCTCTCGTCTGCTGCTTCTCTCCCCAGGAAACGGGTAGCAGAGGAAGAGCCCTCCACCAGTGCAGCTGTCCCCGTGGCCAAGAAAAAGCCCAGCCGAGGTTTTGGGGACTTCAGCTCGTGGTAGCAGGCTGGCTGCTCTGGATTCTGGTAGGGACTTGGACTGTGTCCCGAGTCCCGAGTTGTCTGCCCTTTGAGCTGCAACTCAATAAAGCTCTGGTCTATTGGCCTGGGTCCTCTTTCCTGGCCTTGGGAGTCCACGGGCCACCTCTTCTCTCCCTGGGTAGGACGGCCTGGCCCTGTCTCCACGTCTGCTCCTCTGCCTCAGTCAGGAGGGTGAAGCCAGCTGGCTCCCGCTGTTCCTGGCAAAGGGCGAGCAGAGGTCCTGGGAGCTGGTGTCTGTCGTCCCCCCAGCCCCTGCCAACTCCTCTCCAGCCTCAGGGCCTGGCCTTGTGCTCACACACGACCTGGGGACCTGCTCGGTGGTGTCTCTTTCTACTGAAGATCTTCAAAGCCTGCCCTTTCCGCGCCCTCCATCCCACAGTCCTCCTGACTGTGACGCTGCTCCCTTGGCTTCCAGAAGCTCCCATGGAAGCTGAGGGACAGCTGCCTCCTCCCAGGACCCGTCTACTCCCTCTGCAAGGCCAACAGGGTCATCACTGCCCTCCCCTACTCAGCACTTGTGTCCTCGGGTCAGAAGGGCCACCACCCCCTTGGGCTCTGGTCCCGTTTCTCTCCTTTCCTGCCTCACCCGAAACCTCACGTCAGTGAGTGCCAACAGCTCTTACTTCTAGAAGGTACTGTGGCTCTTTCCGCGTCTCTGCTTCTGAGCCCTGGGCCTGTCTCACCTGCCTCCTCTGAGCCTCATGTGCAGGTCCCCACAGATGGCGGTGCCTTCCCTGCACACGGACCCACCGTGCAGCCCGTCCTCCGAGGCCCCTGCCCATGACCATCAGCTGGGACCTGGGCTCGACGGTGACCTTTCCATTCCCCCGATGCCTTGGGCCAGGCTGCTGTCCCTCACGTCTTCCCAACCCTCTCCATTGAGGGGCTTACACGCCCGTGCTGTCTCCGGGAGCTGGGGTCACGGGGAGGAGGTGGCCGGGCCTGGTGACGGCCAGCCTAAGTGCCCTTGTGGGCCACACAGGGACGCTTGCCTAGGGCGCCTGGACCCCCAGACTGGGGGCTCCACCCTCAGCAGCTCCTTGGCTACCCCGTCAGGTCACGAGACCCGTGATGCCGCTAACTAGGAGACATTGGATGTTGGAAGCTTTATTTTTAAACCTCACAGACAGAGGACGGAGAGCCGGACGTGGGGCCAGAGGAAGCCTGTGCATGTGAGCTTGGCAGTCCTGCTTGAGGGGCAAACCTTCGGGCTGGCCTGGGCTTCTGTCCATCCGTCTGTCTGGCAGCCATGCCCAACTGCCCTGAGGGAAGGCCAGCCACCCTGGGCTGCAGCCCCGCGGTGCCACCCACAGTGAAGGACAGGCCTGCCCAGAGTCTTTGACAAATGAGGGTTTACATTTCTGTAGGTCGTTTTGAGCTTAAATTGTAGTTTTCTAGACATTAAAAACATTCAGATTTTGTTAATTCCCTGGTGAGGTTATCAGGTAAATTTAAACGACTTTTTAAACAACTCCCATTTCTGATCCCTCCTAATATCTGACAGATGCCATCAAGAATAAGCATTAAGGTATAAAAATACTGTATATGTACTGTGCAGAAGACATTACATAGTTTAACTTAAATGCATTCATAATCCTGGCATCACCTCCCACTCTTCGCAAGGAAAAAAAATATCTTAAATAAATAAAAGTCACAGGGTGATATTTACTGTTTAGGAATTTAAAAGGGTGGCGCATCCCAGCACTTGACCAGGTCTCGTGAGTGTCCGTCCTCGAAGCTGCTCACGGTCAGTTCATTTGGTTTCAAAAGGAGCTCGGATTTTGCAGAAGACTAACAAGAAAAGTGTTAAGAGTCTTTGTTGGTGTCAGCTACAAAAATACAAAAGTCATCATGGACCACTGGTAAAAACACTTCGATGCCACCACAGAGACGGCACAAAACCAAAGTGCTCAGAGCAGAGGAGCAGTAACTGTGCCCAGAACATACAAAACCTCTAAATATAAGTTGAGTGTATACAAAGGAATTTTAGGAGGTTCCTCAGCGTCAGGAAGCATCTTTTGGAGAAGCAGCTGGGCCACAGGCTGAAGCTTGGGGAGGAGGCCCGGCTGAGGAGCCGCTGGCTCAGGTGGGGTCTCAGGGATTTGTACTCACGTCTCAGGGAAGGTGCTGGCTGGGCCTTCACGGGGCACTGAGGACCAGGCCCAGGGCCCAGCTTGGGAGGCGGCAGAGTGCCTGCAGTGGAGGTCTGCGCTGTGCCAAGCACTTCCCTTGGCAACTTGAGATGCATTCAGGCCCGCTGGTCACCCTCGTGGACGACCCGGCAGGCAGCGCACTCCCCACGATCCAGGCTGCAGGTCCAGGCAGAGATGGTGTCAAAGGGAAGCCCAGGTGAGTGGCTGGGGGTCAGGGGAGGGCCACCCACCAACTGGCAGCCAGTCCCTCTCTGTCCCCAGCCAGCTCACGCTTGTGGCCATAGGACTAACCTCGTCTGAAGGAGTTTGGGAGCCGGCCTGTACCCTCCTCTCTTCCCCCCGCCCTCAGCCCTCTCTCTGACCCTCAGCACTGGGGTCCCGGGAGTCTCATGACCCGGTGACCACACTGATGGCCCCCAGACGCCCAGTGGCAGGCTGGGCCCACTGGCCAGAGCCAGGTAGAACACTGAAAACGAAAACTGTTGTGGGAATGCCTTTCGGCCTCCATTCCCTGCAAAGCGGCCAAAACCCGTGGGTGGTGCCCACTCCGTGCATAGGCACAGTAAGTCGGAACTTGAACCTGTGGCAGAAACGCAGGACTCGGGAGGCCGGCTGCTGGGCCTTGCCTGTGTCGGCCCACAGGACAGAACCAGGGAGGCACGGGGACCTGTTGAGCAAACCAAACATCTTCACTGCAAAGTTTAAACCTGTCTTCCAACTGTAACCTTTTCCAAAATTTTAAAACTATCTGGCAAATGTTAAATTTGGAAGCTTAGCCTGCTCTGGCCTCTTTCAAATATGCAAAAAATAATTCTTTTTTTTCAAGTACATCAGAGTAGAAAAGGAAACCTGATTTCCCTTGGTCCAGCGCGTTCCACTCTTAACTCCATGGACCAGCCGCCCAGTGCCTGACCTGGAGCCCCCATGGGCCTGGGCCTGGGCCTGCACACTGGCCCAAGACCGTCTCTGCTAACGACTCGTTCACTCGCCTGTGAGATAAGGAAGCTACTGGCTTAAATAAACATGTTACATTAGACGCATTTCTCTATAGCTTATCTAAAATGTTATTACTGGTGGCCTCTGTTTTTGAACAAGGCTAAAAACACCCTTGGTGCATAGATTCATAGATTTCTGAGAGATTCCTAAGTAAGCACTGCCCTCACAGCTCATCTGCAAGAAGAATAACCAACGTTGTTGTTCCGCGAATCGGGGAGAAGTTACCATACCTTCTCTCCAAACAAGAGGGGAACCTGGCTCTCCGAAGAGACCTCCCTGTGGGCTTTGGGGCTTCGGTCTGGTTTTCTATCAAACACGAAAGAGCACAGCCATACTATCTTAAAGGCATTGGTTAAAGAAGGTGTTAGCTGGATGGATAAGTCAGCAGTTGGTTAGGTCTTTTCTCTACACCTTGAGAAATTAGAAAAAGGGCATTGAAACTTTTCAGAAATAACCGTGTTATTGAAGAAGACACAGATCAGAGGGACGCCTTACCCAGGGGATTGGCCTGGAGAGGCCGCCTGTGAGGCTCGAGTTCAAGAAACACTGCCATCAGATGTGCCTATGTTTCCATTACTTATACCGTCTTTTTCACAAAATCGTATTCAAAAGAGAACAGGAAGTTTTCACTTTACTCCCAACCATTGTCTTTGATCATGTGAGCAAGCTCAATGATAAATTTTCCTTCCTTGTATTTCTGACTGCTCTCAAAGGCGTGTTCCTTGAAAAGAGAGAGACAAGGTTTCAGGACAGAATCGGTTTTGTTTTTCAACTTCATTTTACACTTTGCAAAGAAAATAACTGCAGTATCACGTCTCCCCAGACGCCCCTTGCGCCGTGTGGTCCAGGGCGGGGGAGGGGTGGCTATCTGGGTGACCAGCCCTCAGGAGCAGGGCAGGTCTGGCCTGGACTCGCAGAATGATGGTGAAACTTGTCGGGAACTACTGATTCAAGTTTGTTACTGAGTACCGACCATGTGCAGGACAGTTTGGGAAAGGAAGCCAAGCAAAGGCCTCCTTCCCGGGACTCAGATACAGGGGAGTGAAGTCCTCAGGGTCACAGATGGTGGACAGGGGAAGGCCCTTCTCGGGGGCGAGGGATGCAGTGGCTCAGACACAGCCCCCACCCCGTGCTGGAGTCTGGGGGTGGGTGGTGTGTGGGACAGGACCAGGGCCCAGGGCCCAGGCGGGTCCTGGGGGTGGGCCCCGAGGGGTCTGCTGTGAGCACAACTGCAGGGTCATGTCCAGTCCCCCACCTCCCACCTGGCTGGTGACCATCCCTCCCTCCCCCAGTCCATGGACTCTAAAAGGTGTGGTTTTTAAACATGTTCCTTGACTGGCAGCACCTATCCCGCTTCCTGGCATGTTTTGTTTCCACAGGGAATGTGTTCTTTATTACAGCGGACCCGCGGTCACTCACGTATTTCCACCCAAGTGTGGTCTTGCAGTTCTCACAGTAGATGTCCGCCACGGCATGCAGGCCGGTGAGAAGGACCCGCTCCTCCGCAGGGCCGCAGCCCACGTTCACCCTGTGGGGAGGAGGCGCTGGGACCCTCATGGGGCCCCGGGCCCACAGTTCCGCCCCCACCACCTGTTCCCAGGATACAGGGTGTCCTTCCTGACTCCCCCCACCTTTGAACAACTTCTTGCCTCCCCCGAGAATCCAGGATGGGACAGGCTGTGGGGAGGGGCCCACAGTCCTGCTGTCTCGGTGGAAATCAAGATCTACCCCAGTGGGAAACAAACCACACCCAGCCTGGGAAAAAAGCATCTGCTTTTCTGAGCCCTCGATGGCAGCGAGCACTGGCAGGCTCTCAGAAGCAGCACGCGGGGCCTGGTGGCAGACACGGCACTGGCGAGGCCAAGGCAGCGATACTCACACTGAGTTGAAGAGGTAGGCTCGTCCCTGACTTCCCTGAAAGGACTGCAAAGAAGAAAGAGGGGTTAAAGGCTTTGTCGTGGTCAGATGGAAGTGACGCCATTCATCACCAGCTGGAACGCGAGGCCACGTCGGGGCGGCTCCACCCAGAGGGCCTCTGTGCTTGATTATTTTAAAGAACAGCTTACTACTGGCTTTGGGGTCCTTTGAAAGAAGCACCTCAAATTCCTTTTCGACACTAACAACCCACTCCCCCCACCGTGTGGCCAGAGCAGTGCCTGAGCTACACGGCCGATCTGGAGGCCCCGGAGCAGCTCTCCCTCCGAAGCTGGTGCTGAGGGCCTGCCCTTCCACTGAAACTTCTGAATGCACAGAGGGGCCACAGAAGCAGTGATGGCACAGACACCACCTTATCTGATGGCTATCCCTTAAGATGATGGACCCAGGACTTCCCTGGTGGTCCAGTGGTTAGGACTCTGCACTTCCACTACACGGGGCACGGGTTCCATCCCTGGTCAGGGAACTAAGATCCTGCAAGCCGCACGTGTGTCTCCCCCCGAAAAAAGGACCCTGTCACTTCCTTATCACAAGTACAGAGATGATGTTCTAACTGCCTGAAACAAGAGGCCTAAGCATGGATTCCAGAAACTTCTTGATGACTTTGTTTTCAAAGGAGCAGAAGGCTCCTGCCCAGGGAGGCAGACTTAAGAGGACGGGTGGGGGTCGTGACCCACAAGCACGGGGAGGGAGGACAATCACTGTCTCCCGAGAGATTGTTTTAAATGTTCCCAAGTGGTTGGTTATAAACAGGACAAACTGCTAGTCAAGAGTTCAAGGCAATGAGGCAGGTCCTGCCCTCTTCACCCCCAGGGGGCTGCTCGTGGCCCCCACAGCGCCGTGGCCCTGGCAGAGCTTCCCTCCCAGGCTCTTTCCTGAAAGATCCAATTGCCCCCAAGGCAGCCTCTTCTCTTCTTAACTATTCTGAGTTTTAAAATTTTCTTAATTCCCTTATTATGAAACTATTTCCACAGATTTTCCAGGCTTCCTTTGTACTGTCCACGTCCCCTGGCTTTACATGAATTTAACTGCTCTTACAAGTCACTGACTCATCTTACTGTGGGATCTTCAGAGGCCCGTGGCCTGGCCCCCAAAACCCACCACTCGGCCAAGACCACGATGTAGCTGCCCTCACTCACACACACAATTTCCCTCAGTGCCATCCACAGGGCTCCAGACGTTCTGGGCCCAGCAAACCCAGGAGGCCATGGGGTGGTTCAGTATTTGTCTACACTTAGGCTCAGTGATCATGGCTGAGGACAGCCTACCGAGTTCTTGACCAGACACTTGCCTTGGAGATCAGCTCATCGTGATTGGCCAGGTGGGCCCTGCAGTGGACACAACTGTATGTTCGGTGGCAGTTTGGCAGATACGCTTGGAAAGTTTTGGACCTTGTCATTTTCACCATCTCCGCTGGGCACTCCTGGCTCAGCTCAGGGCTGGCACGGGAGGAGCTGCAGCTCTGCTGGGCTCTCTGACAGAAGAAACACTGGAACATGCACGCAAGAGCCGTTGTTGTTCAGAGGGCGTGTGGCTCTGTCCACACAGCTGGGGTGAGAGAAAAACGCCACAACCTGTCAACAAGTCAACACAGAGCAGAGGGTCACAGAGAGAATGAAACACAAAAAGTGTGTTTAGGAAGCCTGTTGTGAAGAAGGGAAGTGCAGGCCTAGACGTTAAAGATCTAATACTTCAATAGTAATATGAGTACATAAAACACTAATAGCTAATCATGGCTTAGCCATTCTAAATTTAGGTGGAAGTGGCAGGTGAACTAGTTTTACACATAAATAATTTGAGAAAACTTTTGCCCAAATACATCTTATATTGTGTGGCTTCAGAAAATGTGAAACAGCAGCCAACATGACTCCCATCTGAGTGAGGCCAGCAGCACTGCATACATCTTGTCCCAAACAATGGAACTGGTGACTCAAAGCACCATGACATTTATGAATACGTGTGTGATGGATCCAGTATTAATCTCTGAGAAATTATGTGTCAGTCCAGAAGTAAACCCTCACATATAAAGTCAAGTGATTTTCAACAAGGGTGTCACAACCATTCAATGTGGAAAGAACAGTCTTTTCAACAAACGGTGTGGGAAAACAAGATATTGACATGTGAAAGAATGAAGTTGGACCCCTGCCTCACACCATATACAAAAATGCACTCAAAATGGATCAAGGAACTAAATGTAAAAACTGTAAGACCCTTAGAAGAAAATGTAGGGAATAATCTTCATGATGTTGGATTTGGCAGTGACTTCTTGGATCTGACAGCAAAAGCACAGATGTGTGTGGATTTACAGAAGGTAAAGTGAGAGGAAAATGGGGCAGAGGCACTATGTGAGGAGATGAGGAGGTGATTCCAGAACTGAAGAAAGACACCAATCCACAGACAAGTCCAACAATCCCAAGCAAGATAAATAAAAAAGCCACACCTGATCACCTAATAGTGAAACTGCAGAACACCAAAGAAAAAAGAAAAAAAGTCTTAGAAGCATCCAGAAAGGAAGGGAAAATTACTTTTCAACAGCAACTTCCCAAGTAAAACAGTGGAACGCAGAAGGCAGTAGGGGAAGGTACCTGTAAAGTCCTGAAAGATAATAACTGCTTTCCCAGAATTCTACATGCAGTGAAAATATCTTTCAAGAATTCAGGAAATGGGGGCTTCCCTGGTGGCGCAGTGGTTAAGAATCCGCCTGCCAATGCAGGGGACACGGGTTCAAGCCCTGGTCCGGGAAGATCCCACATGCCGCAGAGCAACTAGGCCTGTGTGCCGCAACTACTGAGCCTGCGGTCTAGAGCCCGCGAGCCACAACTACTGAAGCCCATGCACCTAGAGTCCGTGCTCCACAACAAGACAAGCCACCTCAGTGAGAAGCCCACACACTGGAATGAAGAGCAGCCCCTGCTTGACGCAACTAGAGAAAGCCTGTGCGCAGCAACGAAGACCCAACACAGCCATAAATAAATAAATAGATAGATAGATAGATAAATAAATAAAAAGAATTCAGGAAATGACATTTGCAGACAACTAAAAAGTTTGACTTCTGCAAAATATCTCTAAAGGAAATCCAAGGATATGATTCAGACAGAAAAACAAAACAAAAAACCCCCACTAAAGTCTAAACTTCAGACTCTAAAAGAAGGCAGAATGGTGAGTAAAGAAAATGGTCAATGTGCAGGTGGGCAGAGCAGCAGCGTCTCACAGAACTTTGAAGAGATCCGCTCATGATATGTGAGCAGGAGAAGCCAGGGTGAAGGCGCAGACCAATGACTCCCAGAGTCTGGGTACTGTCCAAAAAAGAAGACCCATGTATGGATTAAATGTAGATTCTGGTACATTAAGGATAAATGTTGTAATTTCTGATGAAATGTCTGCAAGAACAAAGAGCAGGTGTATAACTTCCAAACCTGTAAAGGGAGGTGAGGAAGGGAGGAAAAACACCATGGGAAGAACAGGAAGCACAACGACAGAAGGAAGATTTAAACCCAAATATTTCAATGCATATATTAAATATAAATGAACTAAATGTTAGAGTTGAAGGTTTCAACTAGACAGAAAACAAACTTTATCTAGATGCTACTTATGAGACACACACCTTAAACAAGGATGCAGAAAGGATAAAAAGATATGGCTAGAACCTGGGTGGTGGCAACACAGACCTATGAATCATAATTATTTGCTAACAGTATATTTGTTTTATGGATATCTTGTATGTATGTGATTCACACAAAGAAGTTAAAATAGAAAAATGCAAATCAAAACCACAATGAGATATCACCTCACACCTGTCAGAATGGCTATCATCAAAAAGAACACAAATAACAAATGTTGGTGAGGATGTGGAGAAAAGGGAGCCCTCCTACACTGTTGGTGGGAATGTAAATTGGTGCAGCCACTATTGCGAACGGTATGAAGGTTTCTTAAAAACTAAAAACAGAGCTACCATATGATCCAACAATCCCACTCCTGGGCAAATATCCGAAGAAAATCATACTTTGAAGAGATACATGCATCCCAATGTTCATTGCAGCACTATTTACAATAGACAAGATACAGAAGCAACCTAAGTGTCCATAGACAGATAAATGGATAAAGAAGATGTGGTATATTTCTACAATGGAATATTACTCAGCCATAAAAAAGAATGAAATAATTCCACTTGCAGCAACATGGACTGACTTAGAGATGATCATACTAAGTGAAGTTAAGTCAGACAGAGAAAGATAACTATTATATGATACGACTTACAGGTACAATCTAAAAACTGATACAAATGAACTAATTTACAAAACAGAAGCAGACTCACAGACTTAGAAAACAAACTTATGGTTCCCAAAGGGGAAAGGTAGGGCAGGGGGTTGCGGGGGGGAGGGATAAATTAGGAGCTTGGGATTAATTTACACACATCTACTATATATAAATAGATAACCAACAAGAACCTGCTGTATAGCACAGAGAACTCTACTAAATATTCTGTAATCTTTCCCATATAGGGAAAAATATCTGAAAAAGAATGAGTATATGTATATATGTATAACTGAATCATTCTGCTGTATACTTGAAACTAACACAACATTGTAGATCAACTATATTTCAATAAAAATTAACAAAAAAAAGAAGTTAAAGTAGCAAAAGGATAGAAAAAGATATTTAAATAATAAAGTAAAGGGACTTCCCTGGTGGTACAGTGGGTAAGACTCCGCACTCCCAATGCAGGGGGCCCGGGTTCGATTCCTGGTCAGGGAACTAGATCCTGCATGCCGCAACTAAGAAGCCCACATGCCACAACAAAGACCCAGCGCAGCCAAACTAAAAACAAATATTGAAAAATAATAATAAAGTAAAAACTATATTAAATATATTCATATTTTGCTTATATAGTAACATTTAAAAATTTTTTTAAATTATTTTTGGCTGTATTGGGTCTCTGTTGCTGCGCGCAGGCTTTCTCTAGTTGCCACGAGCAGCGGCTACTCTTCGTTGTGGTGTGCGGGCTTCTCACTGCAGTGGCTTCTCTTGTTGCAGAGCACGGGCTCTAGGTGTACAGGCTTCAGTAGTTGTGGCACACAGGCTTCAGTAGTTGTGGCATATGGGCTTAATTGCTCTGGGGTATGTGGGATCTTCCTGGACCAGGGATCGAACCCATGTCCCCTGCATTGGCAGGTGGATTCTTAACCACTGTGCCACCAGGGAAGTCCCTACACAGTAATATTTAATCGAAAAACTTTATGAGATAAAACCAGGGAGATAAACAGCAAGCGTAAATCTTGTTACCTAATAACACAGTCTCAAAATACGTAAGTCAAAAATTGAAAAAACCTTGAGATAAATTTATAATCAAAATAGGACTAGTAATTGTAGTATATAAATAGTTTACATAGTAATTTATATATTTATAGTATATTTAGTATATATAAATACATAGTACATATTTGTATAAAATATAGTATATATTTTACTGCATCTTTCACTAACTGGTAGAACAACACAAACGAGGGCAGATATACAGGATTTGCACATTGTGATGAAGAAACTGGAATTAAAATACATGTAGAAAACTGTATCTAAGAACCACAGACTCATTTACTGCACACATTTACAAAAGTTGACCACACAGCACATCTCAACAAATTCAATGACTGAAACCACAGTATATTCTCTGATGACCACAATACAATTAAATTAGAAATCAATAATAAAGTATAACTAGAAAAACCCTCGGGCTTCCCTGGTGGCACAGTGGTTGAGAGTCCGCCTGCCGATGCAGGGGACACGGGTTCGCGCCCCAGGAAGATCCCACATGTCGCGGAGCGGCTGGGCCCGTGAGCCATGGCTGCTGAGCCTGCACGTCTGGAGCCTGTGCTCCGCAACAGGAGAGGCTACAACAGTGAGAGGCCCGTGTACCGCAAAAAAAAAAAAGAAAAAAGAAAATCCTCATATGTTTATAATTTAGGAAATGTACTTCTATATACCCATGCGTCTAAGAATAATGGAAATTAGAAAATATTTTGAACTAAACAATAACAAAATAGGTACTTACCAGAACTTAAAGGGGAATGTAGACTCTTATTAGAAAATAAGCAGGTGGAATTAATGAGCTAAACACCCGTCTTTAAGAAGTTTGAGAAGTAACAGGAAAACAACCCCCAAAAAATGTAAGGAGGGAAAGAAATAGGAAAAAAATATTGAAACAGAAAAGGAAAACTTGGATCCACTAGGGGGGATCGCCAAGGCAAATGTGCATTCTCGGAAAAGACTAATGACCTCTGACAGCAGAGCCAGCCATCAGAAATGCCTTCTGGGGGCAAGTCTCATGGGGAAGAGGTGCTGCGGTCACTTTAAGTCAATATATTGGAAAATGTAAACCACACAGATAAATTACTGGAAAACATTAAGTTAAAAATATGATTCAAGGGCTTCCCTGGTGGCGCAGTGGTTGAGAGTCTGCCTGCCGATGCAGGGGACACGGGTTCGCGCCCCAGGAAGATCCCACATGTCACGGAGCGGCTGGGCCCGTGAGCCATGGCTGCTGAGCCTGCGCTTCCGGAGGCTTTGCTCTGCAACG